AATCCCCAAGTTACACCACTGATCTGAAACATACGAGTGATCGCAATCCCCATACATAACAGATTCTTAAGCTATAAAAGCTCTATCCACTATAAGCATTGCTTGATATACTTGATGGTCGCAAGCACCAAGTTATTCTGGAGAGGTATGAGTAATCGCAATCCCCATACGTCGCAGATGTTTGTGAAGGCAAATGCGTGTGGAGTGGTTCAGGTCCAGTGATCGCAATCATGGCCTCTGAACGCAATCTTCAAGCTACCACCACTGATCTGAAACGCATGAGTGATCGCAATCCCCACACATTACAGATTCTTAAGGCGAAAGGCTCTATCCACTTATACGCAATGCCTAATATACCACATGTGCAAATAATTGACATACTTCCCTATTGCTTGATGCCCTTCCAAGTACGTTTGATTCGAAAGCTTTTTTTAAATTATTTACGATAGTGATCGGTTAGGTTATAACTTTTGGTAATAGCAAACTTTAGTAGTAGCCCGGCGCAAGACAAAGAGAAAAAACTAACAGATTAATCTATTTAACAACTATTAAGCGTATAATTGCTTTTTACTTCCCATGTCCAATAGTATAAGAAAATTGTCTAGTTTTCTTTACGTATGCAAAAAGCGTATTTTTTGTTGCAACGGAACGGAACTTCAGATATCGACTTAAAAGTGCGAGTTTTTTTTACATATTGTTGTATAGAGTAGCGGCAAAAAAGTTTTCGCTGTACTTACGCTTTAGAAGAGACGGCGGCGTAAACGACGCGCGCAACAAAGAGAGGCATTTGGGGGTGTATATTAGTTTATGAGTTGTCAAAATGTATTTGTATATAATACGGAGTTACGGCGAAAGATTGTTTTAGTTGTTGTGGTGATGGATGTGTGCGTAAGGTAGGGTAGTGACGGAGTATTAATGATATAAAACGTTGACAGAGAAATAGTTTGGAGAGACGTGTTTCGTGTTTGATGATGTAATCTTTTAAGTTATCTGTGCAATAGGGGTGTGAATCTGCGGCGGCTGTAACACTTAATGACATAATATTGCAAAAGTGTTCTGTCAATAAGAAAAATCAGGAGATAATGATCGATAAGCCAATGAGAAAAGTTTTAACAGAACAATCGCGATATTATGTAATAATGTGTCACAAACTCACGCGTAGATAACCATGTACGATTATAGTCAATAATTCAGACACTTTTTTCCGACACTTTTATGGTCGTACAGCATATTCTGCATATCGATTAATATGGTGTGATCTTCATCAATTATAACCAGCACAAATTCCGGACTCTAATAATAAGAAAAGCGTTGCTGACATTAAGAGCAACAAGGTAGATAGTAAAGCTGTCAAGCCATGTGATAGTTGGCCTGTACCGACTCTAAGAAGAAAATGGGGAAAACAAACTTTTTACTACAAGTATTATTCAAATACGTCACATAGATGCTTAATACTTTTACGTTAATATCAGCAGTGATGTAATTGCTCTGGTATCGATCCATTGATAATTAACGATTCGAGGGAAAAAATAAAAGTCATATACAACGTATGTTATTCTTATAGTTGTAAGTGAATCAACCATTCCTTGGTAGACATTGAACAGTGTTCTCACTATCAGCAATGTATAACGCTTATTGATATTTCATCGCATCAGGCCATTCATTTGAACAGAGTTCTGTTAATAGTCGTATGACACATATTTGTCTGTTAGCAACCATATGACGCTTGTCTTTATTCCTAGCATTGTAAACGAATCAAGCCATTTCTTTGTATGACTTTGAAATAGTATTCGTGTACATGTACCTGCATGATGTAACGTGGAGCGCATTCGTGGAAACGCGAATAAACCATTCACGTCTTATTTCTCGGCTTATTAATGGCAGTGTAAGATTTAATAGCAATCAACTGAAGCGTACAATCAATATAAAGGCGAAGATTCTCAAAAATAACCGAATCAAGATATTTTCAAAATGAACAATTCACAGTATATTACCTTCTTGAGCGCTGCAAAAGCATTCCTTAGTACTGACCCAACCATTGATACAACGATCGCCTACGCAAATAGTCTACAAATAAATTTAAATATTGATTATACTCGTTTGCATACATACAAACCCACAAATATCACGACGGATAGTGGCGCTAACCTGTTCCTCCCTAAAGAATTCAAACATTTTGTCTGTGGTGAATCAACCGCTAATGGGTCCTGCTTATACAATTCCGCTTCCATCATTCTACAAGGTGACGAATCATTGAGTTTAGCATTGCGCGCAGGCACAGTCTCGGAATTAATGATGAATGCTGAATATTATCTCCAACTTGAGCCGTTTCAACGAGACTGGGCCTGGTCTGATGTAGCAATACGGACACATTTTCAGAGAGATGACCGATATATCAAGGCTGCATATTATAAAGCTGAAATAAAAGCTATGTGCTCAATAAACTCATACTCACCGCTGTTGGCCATCTACGGTTTATCAGAATACATCCAGCATCCAGTTTATTCCATTTTCCCTGATATTGGTAATAATAGCGACCTACGGAGGATATACAATCAGAAAATTTTGCCTCGATCTCAGTCTGCTGACATTGTTGACATTCCTCCGCTCCATATAATGTGGGTGAATATTGGGGTTCGTACAGCAAAAGATTTCGAGCAATGGTGTAAAGGACCGCTGCCACATACAAATCACTTCGTTCCCGTTTTCAACCCACCGTTAATCGAAAATCCAGATTTGATTGTCACTCCAATTCCACGTCAACAGCAACATTTACCTCTCAGCAAGGATTCAAAGGAAAGTCCAGCAGTTGATGAACATAACATAGAACAACGTAATTATGTAGGAGCGTTAATGGCAGGAATAGATCCAACATTACGATTAAACACCAAAACAGGAGATAAATGCGTAACTTACGAACCTGCTAAGAATACGGTATGTTTACTTACACGGGAAGAGATCTTGCAGAAATTAGTCTATTTCGATCTTTTTCAAAACATGTACTGTTGGCGTGTATCGTCCATCTCGCACACATGGTTAATAAACATATTGCAGAAAGAGCCAAGTTTTCCAGCACAAGTGGCTCCTGTCATCAGTCGAACGAGAGAAAACAGAAAAACTCTCACAAAATACTTCTACTGTGCAGGGTGTGTTATCTCTACAAAATCGAGTGGGAAATTCAATATTTCAGTAAAAGAATTAGCTACTGAACAATCATATGTACAGTTGAACGTTATTTTCTCAAAGGATCAGTGTACCTGCACACATCTTATTGGTGTCACTTATGGCCAAACTCGGGGACTCTCTAGACAGCTTCTCAATGCGGAAGAAAATCTCCCGCGGCAAATGCAATCAAAAGCTCTGTCAGGGTTAACACCAGAAAGAATACTTACTGGAAACCGCCAACATGTTCCAACCGCCAAAGCCGCCAAACAATTACGGTACTCTACAAATCCAAGTAAAGAGTACAGTATTGCAGAACGATTTATAGATGCAATACAAAAAATTAATGAGAAGGAAAAAGCCGATTTCATTGCAAAAAATGGAGCTGATGCAGCCCGAAACAGACTATTAACTGGACACATACAAAAGCCATTGCAACTTGACCCGCTTGCAGTAAATCTATATAATGAAGCATCGATACAGTATTGCCATCATTTTGCACAAAATAATCCCGGTTTGTTCATAGACTACACAGGTTTAATGATACGGTTAGTAAGAATTCATTATATCCATATAATATACATACATATTCACTAATACCACTTATTTATGCATCAATAGTGACGTATTCAAACTTCTACGAGAAAAGCCAGCGGAAGTTGAAGAAAGAACAAAAAAAGTTCTCAATGCTATGTTGACAATACCTTCTGCAGATTCCACAACAGATGGCATAGCACCACCAGTGCTGGCAGCTGAATTTATCACGACAGACTTGTCAGCTGAACATTTGACAACTGCTCTACATTATTTCCGTAGACAAGAATATGAGATGTTCCGGTCAAACACGGTGCCTTATTTAGTACAATCGGATTGTGCACGTGGAATACTTCGTGCCACCCTTGCAGAATACAATGATGAATCTCCCAATGAATATTTACAACGACTTACCATGGATGCCATTGAGAACAAGGAATCAGATCCAAGGAAAGTCATTATTGCTTGGTGTTATGCACACTGTACAAGGTAAGTTTAATCTGATTAATACTATAATATGTAATTGAAATAATAAATAAATACTTGATTCTAATCTATAATTTCCTGTAGAGCAATTCGGACACACATACACAGTAGATCCTTCCACTGTAGAGAGCACGTAAGTAAGAAAACTCTTCAGATTGCTGCACGGAGAGTTTTTGAACGTGTAAGGGTACAAACTACATTAGCTGATGCTGAACAAGAGGCTAAGCTATGGGACTGGCTGCTGGGGAATGAAAAACTTGATTTCACGTGCACTTCCATCAATCTCAACACTGACGAACC